CCTTACCTTAAAAACACTATTTTTGAACTGCCTATTCCTGATTTAAACCATCTGCAGGCTCGACTTATAGACAAGATTCGTGAAATTAACAATACCCCGAGCATCTTAGAAAATGTCTTTAATTCTTTGAGGAACAGGTGTGAAAAGTGCTTGGAACAAGGAGGGGGACACTTTCAGCAGCTGCTTTAATTTATTGTTATAACAAGGAGGGGGACACTTTCCGCAGCTCCTTTAATTGTTTGTTATTGTTATCACGATTATTCTTTAAAATAAAGTTATATAGTCATTAACGTTATTGAAACTGACAGCTGCTCGTTGAGAAATGAGGTTAAGTTGGTCGCTATAAGCTACTCCCTACGTCCAATGTGCCAGAGCCAACTTCGACTACGTTTTTATTTGAACGCTCGTTATAATGTTGTTGTTAAGTTTGTAACCAACACTTTCTAGAAACTAGTTGCCCAGGTTCTTGGGATACAACAAAACAAAGTCATCAGCAAAGTAAAAAGAATAGGCGGAGGTTTTGGGGGCAAAGAATCTAAAGCTGCCATGTTAGCCATACCGGTTGCAGTAGCTGCCAAAAAATTCAACCGCCCCATGAGGTGTATGTTAGACAGAGATGAAGATATAGTTATGACCGGGCTACGACACCCTCTTTTGATGAAGTACAAGGTAGCATTTGATGAAAAAGGCAAAATTTTAGGCTGCGACGTAGAACTATACTCCAATTGTGGATATTCTCTTGATTTGTCTATAGGTGTAAGTTATTGCATTAGCATTGCAATAATAAACTTTATACAATATATTCTACGCGCTTTTTGTAGGTAATGGACAGAGTTATGACACACGTCGAAAATGCATACTACATACCGGTGATAAGAGCGACGGGATTTCTCTGTAAAACCAATCTTCCGTCTAACACTGCATTTAGAGGGTTTGGGGGACCCCAAGGCATGTTATTAACGGAGTGTATGGCCCAACACATTGCAGATTTCTTGGAAAAAGACCCTGCGGAAATTAGTGAACTGAATTTGTACAAAGAAGGGGATAGCACACACTACAACCAAATATTAACTAATTGTACGATTGACAAATGCTGGAAAGAGTGTATTACATCTTCGGATTACTATAACAGAAGGAATGAAATAGAAAAATTTAACAGGTAAGACGTTAAAGTTAAACGATATGGTTTTAACACAATGATGACACAGTGATTCTTATATGATTAGTTCAACGAATACAATGAGTCGAAGGATGTCAACAATTGTTATTATTAATAAAAACGAAACATATTAATTTATCTATGCTATGATTTTTTGAAAAGTGGAATAGATATAATTTATTATTTATTACTTAATTATATTGAGAAATAGTTACCGAAAACGATGCTGCGTGATCGTATTTTTATAAAAATTACACAGGGCAACAAAATCTGATGAAAGGTCACACCCAAAAACCAGACCTCACTTGCCTAAAGGTTTTTAGTGCGCAGAATCCAAATCCGGCGTCAGAATTGCTCCTATACGTCACGTTTTCGAGATATCCTAACCTAAAAGTGCAAAAAACAGGTTTTTTTGGTATATCTGAGCTTATATGTATGTATGTATGTATGTATGTATGTATGTATGTATGTATGTATGTCGGAGGGGTCTTCCACCACGGCACTTAGGCCTTATTAGGCCCCTTGTACACCCTCCTTCATTACTGAAGTACTTTTCTTCAAACCATCTTATTTACTACACGGATGGCTTGGTGGCAAAGTCTCGTACAATTTATGTATGATAGCGTGATCTTGAGTTACAGAGATTTCTTGCTCTGCTCTCATTACCATTTATCGGGGACCAGACGCGTGCGGCAAATGTTGGGCGACCCAGGTCTCTGGTAGGCTGCCATAGCCACGTCCCTGAGCCTGCCTTAGGTCACCCATCCAAATTCCGGCCCACGTCCGTGATGCTTGACTCGGCAGATCGAAATCCGCCGGCCAAGGCACCCGGCTAGGCGATCCCCCTGAGCTTATATCAAAGAGATACATTTTTTCAATTTTAGTACCACTGTTATAAAAACGCTAAAGTACCTAAATTCATTCAATGATATCTCCGCGAATAAAAAAGATTTTTCAAATCTGAAAAAAAGCGTTTTGAAGGGTAAGAGTGGTAGTTTTAGAGGGCATGATTTGTTTTTAGAAAAAAAAATTCGCTCTGTGATATAAGCTCTAATATAGCAAAAAAACGTGTTTTTCTGCACTTTTAGGTTAGGAATGTTGGGATATCTCGGAAACGTGACGTATAGGAGCAATTCTGACACCAGATTCGGATTTTACGCACCAAAAACCTTCGGGCAAGTGATGTCTGGCTTTTGGGTGTGAAAATTGTTGCCCTGTGTTATTATTGCCTCGAGAATAAATTTATTTGCGCATTATTGTACTTGTTTTTTCTTAATTTTTAAAATTATCGTATGTTGTAGGTATCTATTTTTTAAAATAAAAAATGTAAAATTGTGCGAATATTTCACAAGTTATAAGAAATAGACACTACTTAATAAAGTCAAAAGAAAATTCAATTTTACATCAAACCTACGAGGTTTGATAAAAAATTAAGGAAAATTTTGAAATTGCGCGTGGTATACCTTATATCGAGTTGACTCTTTCTTTTTGTGTATTAGTAACACTGTCAGTGTCGTACTTTTCAATTTTTAAGCAGCTAACATGCTTAGTTTGTGTTTAGCGAGCAAATGAGTAAGACTTACTCGCGATTTTTTACTAATGTTTTGAACATAAAACGAGTGGTAACAAAATTTGTTGAAGAAAATTAAGTTAGATAGGTATCTAATCGAAAATAATTTGGTGCGATTTTTATTGGAAACACTTTTTTGTATTACTTGTATTGCCAGTGCTATGAAGTATTCTTACATCCTGTATATTATTGTACCTTATGCCTTATACCTTTCTAAAAAAGAATCCTCGATAATAATTCTCTAATTCTTCTGAATTGTAAAAAGATTGGAACATTTCACGAGATCCATCTGAGAAAAAAATAGTTAAAACCGTTCAGTTAAAATAAGTAATAGGAAGTTAGCTAGTCCTTTAAGTGGAATACACTCTTCTTGAAAAAGTGATCATCTGGCCACAATGAAGTTGTTCTTCTCTGATGGAGTATGTCCTTTTACTTTTAAATGTCAAATTTGATGGAGAAAAAAAATTTGTTACCTGGACTTTTATAAGAGGAAATTGTAAAAGGGCTTATAATAAACCTAAAAAAAATAAATGCGTGAGCAGGGGCGGCGGAGGGTTGATTTGGGATCAACCCATTGGGATTTCTGGCGAAAGTTGACGTTAAACAAAAAAGTATCCAATACTAAAGTTGTAGATCATGCAAAAATCTACAACTTTTGTAGAGGTTACTTTTTAACAAACTCAAAATTTCCGAGAAAAATGCGAAAAACAATTTTAACGAAACTTGTTGAAAGTATACACCTTTCTGTCTTAAATATCCACAAATTTTTTTAGATAAAAAATTAAGACGTTTCTGAGATATTCATTTTTTTCGGCCTGAAACATTTTTTTTTTTTCAAAGAAAAATTCTACTTAGAAAAATCATCGTACAGAATTCTGCCGGTAATCATTTTTTTCGTTTTGACATACTTTTTGGTGAAATAAAAAAGTCTGTAATCACAGTTCAAAAATATGCTCAAAAATCCAAAAAAATAAAAAATTACTTGCAACAATTAATTTTTCAGTTATTGTTGATAATTTGTTTAAATTAAAAAACATTCAAAAACTGATTACACCATTCAGTTCTACAGAAAAAAATTAAAAAAACTGTGTCTCATTGTTTGACCCAAAACTTTATTTTTGTATAGTATTGCTTATAAACATCTAAGTCGACTTACAAATGCACAAATAATAAATTGTGTCCGGATGATTTGAGATTTCAGCAATACAAAGTAGTATCTGCAGTCTACTGTTGACGCGAAATCCGAAACCCGAAATTTTGCAAAATCGTTTTATTTTTTTCTGACTTTATTTGAAAACGAATTTTAAATAAATTGCATATTTTCATTTCCACTTTTTTCGCTCTATCCAATGGCGTCAACATTTTTGCAATCCGACGTTTCGTCTTCGAGGGGCCATCATCAGATTAATTTTTCTAAATATGTCGCTGCTATTTCTATGACAAAATCTAGTCATTTTTAATTCTGAATTAGATAGTATTACTATTGTAATCGCTTAAAAAGGTTTTTAGGCTCCGAACGCTTTCAAAATACCTGTATCTATTAGAGGAGAGAGAGAAGAGACTGAAGGTCAATACAGCAAAAAATATCCAACATTTTTTTTAATAATAATTTAAAAAGTTGTACCACTTGTACCTAATAAATAATAACGAATTTATGAAATATTTTATTATTTCTAATTAGTATTGCTAATAGTGGTAAAAAAAATTGTTGGATATTTTTACCTTTATACTGTTATGACTTCATCCAATAGATATTTTGAAAGCGTTCAAAGCCGTTCTCAGAAAAAATTTTAAATGATAGCTAAAGCTAAAAACTTTTTAAGTTAAGTTTAAGATTATAATAGTAATATCCTCTAATTGAGAAGTAAAAATGACTAGATTTTGTCATAAAAATAGCAGCAACGTATTTAAAAAAATTAACCCGATGATGGCCCCTCGAAGACGAAACGTCGGATTGCAAAAATGTTGACACCATTGAATAGAGCGAAAAAAGTGGCATTGTAAATATGTAATTTATTTTAAAATTCGTTTTCAAATAAAGCCAGAAGAAAATTAAACAATTTTGCAAAATTTCGGGTTTTTCCGGATATCTCCGGAGCTAGCAATACTGTACATAAATAAAGTTTTGGGTCAAATAATGAGACAGTTTTTTTGTATTTTTTCTGTACAATTGAATGGTGTAATAAGTTTTTGATTTTTCTTTAATTTAAACAAATTATGAACAATTACTGAAAAATGTATTGCTGCAGGTCATTTTTATTTTTTTTTGCATTTATGAGCATATCTGAACTGTGATTACAGATTTTTTATTTCACTAAAAAGTATATGTTAAAACGAAAAAAATGATCACTGGCAGAACTCTGTATGATGTTTTTTCTAAGTAGAATTTTTCTTTGAAGAAAAAGTGTTTCAGACCGGAAAAATGAATATCTCGGAAACTTTTTAATTATGTTATCTAAAAAAATTTGTAATTAGTTAAGACACAAAGGTATACTTTTACCAAGTTTCGTTAAAATTAAATTATTTTTGCGGAAATGAAAAATAAAAAACGAAAAATCAGAAAAAGCCTGTTTTTCGCATTTTTCTCGGAAATTTTAAGGTTATGTTAAAAAGTGACTTCTACAAAAGTTGTAGATTTTTGCATGATCTACAACTTTTGTAATGTATACTTTTTTGTTTAACGTCAACTTTCGCTAGAAGTCCCAATGATACAATTTTTCATAACTTTTCAACCCCCCAAATCAACCCTCCGCCGCCCCTGCTCTCGCATTTATTTTTTTTTCTTTTATTATAAGCCCCTTTACCATTTCCACTTATAAAAGTCCAGGTAACTATTTTCTTTTTTTCCCTCTAAATGAGTTATTTCGATCGATCTAATGTGGAAAATGCAATTTGAAAAAAAAAACGGCTTGTAGGTATATTTTAAAAACAAAATTGTACCGTATTTCCCATATACTTAATACATATTCTTATTAACAGAAATGTATGGATTTTTGAAGTAAACAAAGCATTTGGTTATTTTTCTTTAATTATTTATTTATTTCTCAGGGAAAACCGTTATAAAAAACGGGGTCTTAGCGTCATACCCACAAAATACGGCATCGCTTTTGGCATTTCGTTTCTAAACCAAGCTGGGGCTCTTGTCCTGGTGTACACCGATGGGTCTGTGTTATTATCCCACGGTGGTATTGAGATGGGTCAGGGAATTTACACGAAGATGATCCAAGTGGCAAGCAGAGTACTGGAAATTCCAGTGGAAAAAATTCATACCAGCGAAACTGCTACAGATAAAGTGCCAAATACTTCGCCAACCGCCGCTAGTTCTGGGTCAGATCTGAACGGAATGGCAGTCATGGTGAGTCTGTTATCATTATTCGAAATTTAAGTCAAATTATATAGATACTGTTGAATTTTAGGAAGCCTGCAAGGTGATTAAGGAAAGACTGAGACCTTACAAAGAAGCAGATCCGAAAGGAACATGGGAGAGTTGGGTGAACAAAGCATATTTCGATAGGGTAAGCTTGTCGGCCACGGGATTCTACAAGACTGACGTCGATTTTGATTGGAATACTAAACAAGGCACACTTTTCAACTATTTCACCTACGGGGTTGCTTGTACTGAGGTAGAAATTGATACTCTTACTGGAGACCACCAGGTGTTGAAAACTGACATTGTTATGGATTTAGGTATGTCCCTGGTGCGGCAGTCAGCTGTACCTTTGATATCGAAGCGTTGATGGCGGTTTTGACATGCTGAAATTTATTCAAATTTCGTTCAAAAGTAACACAAAAATTAAACGAATAATAAACTGACTAGTTACCAACAGACGAAATGCTCTACAAAAATTGTTCAAAGTTTTTTCCGTGTGCTTCCAAACGACGATCAAAATTAGTCCGCATACGTGCACATACGCAAAACGACAAGGCTCAATTAAATTGTACTGACATTCTCTGTACATTAACACCATGTCTGCTAGTTGTTGATCAGAAAACATTTTATACGCCGGCTAAGTAATACTGCAACACACAACGCACGTGCACAAAATGCACAGGGTCGGCTTACATTTAATTTTCTTAATTAATTTTCTCGAAACAGAAGCATTTAGACCATCAGTTGCTTAAAAAAGTTGCCCATTTTCGTGCCCTCTATCACCTTTTTCAAGAAACGCACTTATTTCAGAAACACTGTAACAAAGGAAGTGACATTAAATGAAAGAGAAACTGATTCCAATTAGTATATCACAAACTTACTTTGTGTATTATTTCCTATTCAAACATATTTTAAGCATGCAAATTTACTGTTGTTTTCTGCGAGGATTTTTGCTTTCATACTTCGTTTTACACTTCGAGCATATACTCCTAGAGGCAGCCATCAGTGCTGAGAATGCGCGACTGGTGTGCGAGGGAGAAATGAGCATAAAAGGACATACTATCTCTTTCGCTCCGCGAGCTGGATTGGTCGGTGCGTGCTCCCCTCCATGCCAATGACCGTCCTGCACCTAAGCCCCGACCAATCAGCTCGCGGAGCGAGAGAGATAGCATGTCCTTTTATTCTCCTTTCTCTCCCGCACACCAGTCGCACTTTCTCAGCACTGAAGGCTGCCTCTAGGAGTATATGCTCGAAGAGAGAAAAATATCAATCAAAGTTTTAAGTGAGAACTTCGTTTAAACCAGGAAACCCTATATAACGTATATTTCTAACTCGAATTCATAAAAAAATATACTGGGGTAACTTGTAGTGGGGGTAAGTATTTTAGGGGTAATAAATGAATACCTACACTGACTAATTTGATATACTTGAATAAGGTTATAAAATAATTTTTAATAAAAAGTGTTTTATATGATTTTTAAAGCATTGTGTTTAGTCTGTGAATCTCTTCTGTCAATGAGCTCTCACAGTGATTTAAGTGAACTATAAAGCAAACAATTGCACTCAACCAAGACGTGATCATAAATGGAGACAGAGACGCATTGTGCAACAGTTAAAACCGGTACTATAAAAAATGTTATAAAACTCTAAACAAAATACATAGTGTTTTTACTTTTTATTATTGAGCTGAATCTTTATTCCAATCTACGTCTGAGTGACTGGCGTATCCATAGACCTTATGAACTACTGGACTCGCCCAACGGTCATTTTGCTCATATAAACGGCAATCGCACATACGTGTGCGAGAGAGACAGAGCTAGTGCGGGCTTATGCTTTGTTCACAGAACTTCGACTGTAGCGCGATATATTTAATTCAACCAATCGGCAATCGACTCGATTCTTGACACACTTTTTTTGGTGGGCCGTATTCCCGTTTGAAGTTAAAATGATTTAACTACATTTATGTGTAGTGACTATGCATTGAAAGTATGGTGAAGTTAAAAATTTTGAAAAATTATTGATTGCACACATCGGCGCGATTGACCTCTCTTTCTAGGGCCAGTCTATAGTTTACTAGTGATTTTTGTTAATTATTTGCTTAGTTTTGAAGAATTTTCTATATCATGTTGCCACTTTTCTTTCATGTTGTTCATCATAAAACTCCATTTATCTTGAAAACGGTGCGTGTTAGAGCTTTTCATTATAAATACCTTTTTTGTGTAGAAAACATTGGCAGTTTAAAATGTGCTTTCAAAATTCCAATTTTCCCTGAGCCGTAAAAATTAAAGGCAAAAGAACCACACGCAATCCTAAAATCTCCGCCTCTGATATATGAATAAAAAATCAATTAGCGCTCAAAAGTAGCTAATATTAATGGTAATTCAAAACTGAAAAAAATTATTTCGTGCTTTTCAGATTTAAGTGTCTCACGATGTTACCCAAAATTTTGGGGGTTATAATGATTTTTGTTGTTTATCACTAGAGTGATTTTTTGAAAATTGCTATAAAAAAATATTCAGCATATAATAATTTTTTACGGGAACTATCTACTTTCTAAAGAAGATTTCTTAGATTTGCTGCGTATGAAGAGAAATATCTGTATTCAGAATTGCAGTAACTTATACACTCCAAAGCGCCTTCTACAGAACATGAATGCTATTATATATACGACCACTACTGTAAATACTTAAAAACACACCGTCTGCGATCAATGTAAGATTCCTATTACGTACGGTAAAAAAATCGCACAGTTTTCCTAGCAACCGCTTAGCAACGGTCAATACAATACTGTTTGTATTGACCGTCGCTAGGTGGTTGCTAGGAAAGCTGTACGATTTTTTTACCAAGCTGTGCGATTTTTTTACCGTACGACGTAATAGAAATCTTGCATTGATCGCAGACGGTGTGTTTTTAAGTATTTAAAGTAGTGGTCGTAGGTAAAGTATAGTACGTAATACGTGGTGTAATGCAATTACGCACTCATAGAATTACGCACTCGCCGCTACGCGGCGTCGTGCGTAACTTTTCCATTGGTGCGTAAAATGATTTTTACCTACGACAACTACTGTAAATACTTAAAAACACACCGTCTGCGATCAATCTAAGATTCCTATTACGTACGGTAAAAAAATCACACAGTTTTCCTAGCAACCGCCTAGCAACGGTCAATACAATACTGTTTATATTGACCGTTGCTAGGCGGTTGCTAGGAAAACTGTACGATTTTTTTACCAAGGTGTGCGATTTTTTTACCGTACGACGTAATAGGAAACTTGCATTGATCGCAGACGGTGTGTTTTTAAGTATTTAAAGTAGTGGTCGTAGGTAAAGTATAGTACGTAATACGTGGTGTAATGCAATTACGCACTCATAGAATTACGCACTTGCCGCTACGCGGCGTCGTGCGTAACTTTTCCATTGGTGCGTAAAATGATTTTTACGTAATATACTATTGTGACATATGAATATTTCGATATTTGACATTTTAATAAAGACTTTTTCAGGTGAGAGTCTAAATCCTGCTATCGACATAGGCCAGATAGAGGGCGCCTTCATGCAAGGTTATGGTCTGTTCGTGCTGGAGGAAATGGTGTATTCTCCAGAAGGAACAGTTTTCACCAGAGGTCCTGGCACTTACAAACTACCCGGATTTGCGGACATACCTGTAGAATTTAATGTTTCCCTTTTAAAAGGAGTATCCAATCCTAGAGCTGTGTATTCATCTAAGGTGGGGTAAAAATAAATAAAATATTGTCTATTTTAGAAATATTTCGTCAGTCAAATAAAAAGTGAAAATAACGAAAGAAACACCTTTCAGGCTGTTGGGGAACCGCCTTTGTTTCTAGCAAGTTCCGTTCTGTATGCTATTAAGGACGCTATTAAAGCAACGCGTGAAGAAAATGGGATTAAAAAGGAATACTTTAGATTCGACGCTCCCGCAACTTCGGCTAATATCAGGATGGCATGTCAAGATTCGATAACGTCGAAGGTAAAATCATATTTTTAAACGATATGTTGTTTTATTTAAAATGAGTGGTGTCGTTTTTGAATAGTTACTCTTCTATTTACTTTTTACAACAGATGAAGTTGAATATATTTATAACTATAACATACACGCACAATTTCTACACGTATTACATTTAAGTTTACATCTCCATCGTTTATTTTTTATTTGCAATATGGTCCATATTAGAATATTTATTCTTAATTTTTGTTTTAGATAAAAGAGCCAGAACGTGGAACCTTTAAACCCTGGAACGTTGTAGTTTAGTTGTAGAGAATTGGTATTAAAGAAATCCATACTTTACAAGTTTATTCCCATACTATCCACTAACATTTCGCTAATATTTTACAATGTTCATCGAAGTCTTTTAAGTCGATGTCCTTGGTTTTATTTTGCTGAATCAGATAGGTAACTGCAGCTGAAATAGGTACAAAAAATGTCAAATATATATGTAAGTACATACAATAAAGTATTTTTAATACAAATTTTTATTTCTTTCTAACCTTTCAAGTGACCTTCTGTTCTGAAAACTCCTCTGCCAATGTACGTAGCTATCAGGTCAGTTTTTGAAAGTAGACCGATGCGATATTTGCTGACAAATGTTCGAATCAGTTTTAGATCATCCGTGGTTAGAGACCTTCTACGTTTTCTCGCCTCTTTTACCGACATCCGATAAATACTGACAAACGCTTCCTTCACTTGTTCTTTTATTTCTTCTTCGAAATCAACCTCTTCTTTTTTCTAAAATATACAGGATATTAATACGTGCACATACCTTAACGGACGAATTACCCGTAAAATTGCAAAATCTCCATCTTCTATCCTCTCAAGAAGCCTCAAAAGCCCGCATATCTTGATTTCATCGTTGATATCTTTATTGGTCTTGACCGCCTGTACAAACATGGAAAAATACTTTCTGGCGTCACCTGCCAAAATTTGTAACTTTCCCTGGTGTTTGTTATTAAAATTACATGTTGTCAGAGAATCTACACATGCCCTAGGTTTATCCATACAGTTTTTAGGACCAAACATATTCCCAATGCAATTCTTTATTCTGCCTTTAATAAGCTTCTTCAGTTTGAAGTTCTTCGGCTTCGATAATTCTTCTGATTTAACAGATTCTAGCAAAACGTTAAGGAAGAAATCGTCATCTTGGAACAGTTTATTTGTTACGTCTATCTCTTTTTCGTAGACTTTGAGGAGATTGTCAAAAAATCTCTTAGCCATAAACTTACTAGTTACTGATGGGGAATTAGAATATCTAGATCCAAAACTCGAAGAAGTGTCTGATTTGCCATCAACATCCATTTGAGTTGAAGATTTTAAGTCAGATTTGCTAACATGACAATTTTCTTTGACGTTTATGTGATCTGAATATACGGCATCTGACTCAATCCGTTTAACACTTTCTTTCTGTTTACCTTTGAAACAGAAGTTATTATTACTGCTACTTTGTTCTTCAACAACTGTTAAGCTACAGGAATTTAAGTTGGTAATACTTAGAACCACAGGGCACTGCACAATATCTTTTGTTAACTGAGAAGTATCGTCAATAGTAAAACTAGTTCGAGACCTTTGCAAAGTAGTGATTTCTAAAGAAGGTTCACGTTCTTTATAAAAAAACAGTGTTTCCTCCTGAACATTATCTTCATTGAAAGTGTCAGCACTTTTCACTTCCTTTAATAAGATGTCTTCTTTGATGATGTTTTCAATTTCCAATAAATTTTCTTGATTTTCCGAATTATTACTTAATTCATCCGCCTCAGTAATGTCAGGCAAATCTGAATTAGAATGTTTCTTGCAGAGACTACAATTACTATTAAAGTCGCTAAGAAGGGCAGAACTTTTCCTGCAGAAGAGTAAAACGTCGAGAGGTATTTCCTGAAATGTTTCCTCAGATTCATCTTTATTCTTTGTTTGATTTCGAACTTTCTCAGCATATTCTATGCATTTTTGATTCATTACGCTGTACTCCTGCAAATTAGGACCAGATCTCGAGTCATTTAATGAGCTTGTAGACTGCAAACTAGTCTCCAATTTTTTTATAGGCTTGAACAAGTTGGCGATACTGGTTTTTTTAAAAAAGCTGGAAACAGACGTACACTTCTTCGAGTTGCTACTAGAATATCCGCTCTCTTCTGACTCTGTCACACTATTTGATGTATGATACTCCTTTTTAAGAAATTGGCGAAATGTTTCCCTTTGAATCCGATGTGGATTATTAAGAGCATAGCCAAGGATAGTTTTCATAGGCTTTTTAAAATGTAATAAGACGGCATCCTTATTTATCTCAATAGGTCCATCTTCATATAAATAATCAAACGACGATGTGGACCCGGCTAGTACCGGACAACTCAAATGACTAAAAATTAAGTTAGTCGGACGTTTAGATTCTTTCTCTTCACTAGCGACATTTCCTTCAGAGCACGAATTTTTTTTATACGGATTGTTCAGTGTAGAAGTGGTTTCATTTGAATGTTTAGGGAAAATAACATACGATTTTTCATTGACAGGTGGTGATCTTGGAATAATTTGTCTATCTTTATCAATATGGGTAGGATCTAGGGAAGGTTCTTGGGGTGATTTAAACTTTGTATCGCAATAAGATACTATCGAATTATATAACTGGTCAATTAGATCCTTGAAATTCTGGTGTGTGTTTTCAGAATCAATTTTACTCATCTTACAAATCTGTTCCTCGTTGATAACTCCATTTTTCAAGAAAGAAGAATTTAGTTCTTTATCTGACAAGTTTCTTTCATGCGAACTTTTCTTCACGAATATTTCTTCAATTTTTTTCTCTGGGAACGACTTTCGTCTAAATTTGTTTAACTGGTCTACATCTGAGATGACCGGGGCGAAGATATCTCTGCCTGAAAACTTACAAGCATCTTCTTTGTTCTTGGGAAAGATTTTTCTAGATTTTTTTGTGGAAATTTTAGAGGCTTTAGTCCTCAGTTTCGCTTTGTTAGTTTTAGTGTTGTAAGTTGGCAATCTGCTAATACATTTTTGATTAACAATAGGTGTCGGACTGGTTTTAGTATCAAAACCTTCGTCCAAATTCGGATTCTCTAACGTTAGATATCTTACTTCAAAGATTCGCGGTCCCATTTGGTTTTTTGTTCCACATTTTTTCTTCATTTTCTTCCTTATGCTCTCGTCATACATCTTCCTGCGTTGGTAGGTATTCATTTTAGGATCGAAACTTTTTGTAAGGAACAATCTACTGGCATGGGGTTGATCGCTTATAAGAGATTTTGCCGTGTATCTATCGAGTGATCTGGAATTGGAGTTCGAACTGAAATTAATTTTTTGGGCGTTGCTGTACCTGTCAACGCAAACTAAACTGCCGATTCTACTTTCCATGTCTACATCGTTTAAACTCATAGATGATTTGGAGAACAGACTTTCTTGATTTTTTTTTAAGGTTGTTACGGCATGTCTATCAAAGATTTTTTCTTGGACTGAATTATCTTTTGTATCATTTCTGGTCCACTCAGCAGGTGTGTTGCATGTTCCAGATATTTCTGTACATATTGAACCATCTATAGTAACAACATTTGTACTCATTGTTAAGGCTCGTTTAGTGGGTTTCTCTCTAAATTCATCCAGTGAAGGTTTAGAAGGTGGTGTACATCTTTCATCGGCAGTCGCTGGTCTTCTTTCTAAAAGCTTTATAGGCTCAAATTTCTCTTGGTTTTCAAATGAAACGGTCTTCTCTTCCAGTCCTTTGCATTGCCCCGACATTGGTGCAAAACATCTTTCTGGTTCCGGTAATTTGCGACTTGGAAATTGCTCGTTTTCTAAATTGATGATGGGTCTTGCGGACTTGCACACTGATCCCATTTTTGGTTCACCGAAAGAATCAGTAATCTGACAACGCTTCACGTTGTTCGCAGTTGCTATTTTTTTAGAGTACCTATACTGCTTCGTCGCATCACAAATTGTGACTAGTGTAGGCGTGTCTAGGTAACTTGGAGTTTGTGATTTTTTATTTTCCAACATAATAACTGCTTTGTCTGCTACTTCCTCAGTGATGCTAACTTCCGTTGCAGCATCAACTAAATTTTTCTCACCTAGTTCTTCTCTGTTACCCGTTACATCGTCTGCGCAATCCTGATCCATTGAATTATGAGCTTTAATTGACTCGTCTTTAATGATCTGTGATGCAGTTGTTCCTGTATACCCTTTAATCAAACTTGGTATTCTGCTCATCGTATTACATGTACCTATTTTCTTTGAACAATATGATTTTTCTTCTACATCTTGAACTTTGGGACAGTCAGTGGGTAGCTTCGAATCTGTTTCTTGTGAGTCTGTTGCTTTCTCCGAATAATTTGTCTTTTCTTCTGCGTTTTTAATTTTAGGGTTATCGTAAGCCATTATTTTCTTCGAGGAATATGCTGCCTCTTCTACGTCTTGGATTTGAATGTTTTCGTTTGAGTCTACTTCGTGTATATCCTTTATCTTCTTGGTACAATATGTTTTTTCTGCTACGTCATGATTTTTAGATGTTTCAATTGGCTCTTTTGAATCTGGTTCACGTGAATTCTTTTCTTGTCTATCGGGTATATTTATAGACTTATTTGTTTGATTTGATTCCTCTGTGAATGATATTTCACGCATTACATTTTTTGGAATTTCTCTTATAATCTCCCTAATTCCTTCCTTAATTATTATATCAATGCTTTTCCTTTCTGGACTTGATTTTCTAAAGAATATATCTGGTAAAAGTTGTCTTAATTGTTCTCTAAAGTGGCTTGGACCGTTAGGTTTACGTTTGCCTTTAAATTTGTGTTCTGTAAGGGAATCATACGATATATTAATGTCAGACTTTGAAGTATAGTTGTTCATTTCTCTGTATTTTTTTTTAATTCGATGATGGCTCTCCATTTTCTTGATCTTTTTATTATATCCACGTTTTTCTTCATACTTGAGTTTTTTATTTTCACGTGATCTTTCACTAACTTTTTTTGGAGAACTTTTAGGTATAATACTGTTATCCTTTAAGGGATTGCAGTTTTTATGTTTATTTGGATTGCCCTGGGTAGATTTTCTAATCGGCTCCAGATTGCAACCAGAGCTGCTGCTCTTTAATGTCTTAAAGAATGTACAGTTCAGATCTTTCTTTAAAGGAGATGGATTTTCATTAGCGCGTATGACAATGGAAATATTTGAAGGCTCTTCTACTATATTGTTTAATGTAATAGGTTTAGGACTATCACCTCGTTTACGAATTTTTTTTGATACATCACCGCAATTTCTGTGGGACTTTTCGTTTTTCATTATAAAAAGAATTTTTGCTAGATCCGATTCAGATTCATTTTTCGTATTCATCGATATTTCTTCCTTGTCTTCACAGATTTCTAGGTTGCAGTCAGAGGGATCTGAAACAACTCTGTAGCTGTCACTTACTATGCTCTTCTTTCCTTCTGAAGATTTATCACTTTCATGGTGACACTTGTTGTCTGCTATGGAGTACTTG